TTGAGCAGACTGCAAGATTCAGAAGAATAGTGTTTCAAAATCCAGGTTTTGGTGTCTTTGCTCATTCGATAGAAAAACAATGGTTCAAACTGGCACAAAGTGATCCTGTTGGTTGATCCTTCTTACCTCTACTCCTGCTTCTAGACCGAGTTCTGCTGTGTGACCGGCTCTTGCTGCGCTCTCGATCCCTGTCCCCCCTCTCTCTGTCGCGATCCCTCTCTCTGTCGCGGTCTCGGATGTGATCCTTGCTCCAACTGCGGCTGCGGCTCCGACTGTAACTCCGACTGCGGCCTCTCCTGCGATTGTAGCGATCACGGTACGAGTCCCTCCGTGGTGGGATGCGGTCATATTCCCTCTTCCTGGAGCGGTCGTCTCTCTTACGATCATCTCCTCTCCTAAAAGTTTGGGTAAACAAAAACATGGAAATTAGTTATTAAAAGTGAATATGTGCTGAAAGACAAAGTTGAAACAGGCAGTTGCACACACCTGATATCTCTGCTGTAACGAGAACTTGATTGGGGTGGGCTGTGATTCACTCTCCGAGGAAACTTCTTCTCCCGTTCGTCTTCGCGGTTTGTCTGACCAAAGACAAAAAAGTAACTTCAACTAAACTTGTTCTATCTAAGATGGCCACTGACATGAATGAAAGTGCACATATGACAGAATAACATTACACTTTAAATTATTCCCTCATAATTACCTCATCTTTTTTCAGCTCATCCTTCTCAACTTTGACCAGAGAGGATGGTTGATCTGGCTGCGGGAGGTAGTTTTTGTTGTTAATGGCTTCAAACAGCTTATCCACAAATGGCTGGGTCTCTGGAAGAAGGTAATAGCGCAATCAAAGATGATATATTAATCCACAAACAAATAGCAACACACGTGTCAAATGAAACGAGGCTTGCCAAGTACAACTTTCAAGAAGCAGGGGGATTAAATACCTTTCTGGAGAAATACATCCAACTGGTCTATACACAGGGCTTTAAGTTCCTTTTCACTTTTGTCTTTCTTCACCAAAGCAACAACATACTTAGCAAGGGCAGATGGGTCTGCATCACAGCTGGAATTGTTCAGAGAAAAATGGATAAGAAAAACGATCACAAAAAATACTGTATACATGACAAATAGCCAAGAAATGCACAAGACCATCAGTAACCTATGACACCTTCATGATAGCGTGTGTGTGTTTCTAATATTAGCTTGTGTAACTCAGACTCAGCTACAATGGCTAAAGCTGAGTTGAGGGAACAGCTGAGTTGCTAATAGCTAACGTTACTTACATGGGCTCGAGGGTTTCAGACAGCCATGTTTTCAAGGCATCGAGGTTTTCAATGATCATTTTAAATCCAGCCGAACTTTCCCTCCACCACGGCCAGGGTCAACGCTAGCTTGGGTGACGCTACTTATCTGTTTAATAGGATAGCCGACATTAGCTGGTGAAACTAACCACTTCAGTGGTCTTTGGCTGTGCTGCTGTGCTACAAAAGCCGTTAGCTGAACAGCCGCGTTAACGTTGGCTAGCTTAACTACGCTAGTATGCGTCTTTCCAGGCCTCAAACGTGCTGAACGATTACTCGACTCTCGTAATGTATTTTAATAGAGACGCAGACGTGGTGAGTCTTTTGTTTCTCAACATCCAACCAACTAACCCTGAAGGTTGTAAATGTTTTTTTATCCGTTTAACTCAGTGGAGCACCCACGCTGAACTTGCTACTTTATCCCCTCACTAGCTAACATGCCATGGCGACTATTTACTTCCGCTTGTGTTCTCCTCGGCAACGTATCGCGAGAGGAACATGCAGTACCAGACAACAGTTGATCTTTAGAGATGCTCTCGTCTGGAACATCTGCATACTGTCAGTAGCTCCACATCACTTCAAGCCATATAGCAAATGTGTCACTAGATGTAGCAAAATATGAATTTCTAGTTGATTACAACAAATGCAAGAAATGTGACAGACTTACTCAGGACATGGTCTGTATTCATTGCCAAAGCTACAGAGAAAGGGTCACATGAAAGTGCAAAGATAAACATGAACTAATAATAATTAGAAACATACCCTATTCCTTTCATATGGAGACAAGTGTTGCTATGGTAGTGCTCTATAAATAACGGTAGAATCATTTTTGTTTTATACAGGCCTGAGGGTTATCCAGCTAAATTATTTTTATTTATTTATTTTATCTAGAATAATTAAAAGTGCGAACAGTAAATCAACTTGAAGGATTTAGCATCGGACAGCTTAGTGGCGTTATTGTCTGACAACAGAGCCATCTTAAAATCAAAAGTTGAAAGTAAATCTACTCATTCTACAGTCAGACTCACAGTACTCTCAACACTATAGCCTGTAACATGTACCCAAATAGTTTAAGAAGCCATTGTTAAATAATTAAATATATCATTTTATGAGTCATTACATACAAATAATTCCATTGTTCGCCCATTGGCAAATTCATCCAGGATCAGTTGTGGTAAAGTGGCAGAAATATGACTTAATAACGAGTTATATATTATGTTTATCTCGGCTATTTGTTTATTTATTTAATTTAGCCCTCCTTAAATTGATCGCTGGAGCAAACACGTTTGGAAATGCGTAACTTTTACTTTCAAGGAGAGCTCTCTCCGTTTTCGGCTCTCGACTTCCTTTAGTCAATTTGCATTATCAAGCCAATCCCAGGCCCAATCCCAATGTCCCACTATAAGGGCTTGAAATGTTGTAAATACGAATGGGACAGCACTTTGCTGCAACATATCACGTTACCATATCAAAAAATACTATGTACAATTGTGAGTATTTATTTCATACGTTTTACTCCGGGATTTTAACGTTTTACAGACTGTCAACTCATCCAGTATTTGAGGGCTCTCTCGCAGACATTTTGAGCCCTTTATGAACACTTTATGAACACTTTCTGTAAGTCAGCATTAGATGCAGACTTTGCCTCAGGGAATTACCCACAAATCATTGCAATGTGACGTTAAACACGGGGTTACCAGTGGACGCATGGAGACGTTAAAAAAGGTAAACAAAGAGGACGGCTCACGTGTGTTCAGCCTGGCAAATTAAATTTACACAGAAATAATCACATGAAATCAGAGGATATTTTCTTATTCATTCATCAAATGTTTGATTTTGTCATTACAGCTGTTTTGACAAAAACAAGTAAATAGATCATCTGAAGGTACCTCTCATCTTGCGAGGAAAGAGCCTGGAAGACGTTTAAATCAGGGAGTGAAAAATATCACTCAACCATGTAACAGGTGACGTCAGTAAGTCCTTGAGGGTTCAGGGTTTGAGGCTTTAGGGGGGACATTGGGATTGGGCCTTAAAGTTGGATAATGTAAGAACATGTACATGGTAGTGCACGGAAGTGTATTGCACGTGTTCATTCGATGCAACAATAACACAGATAAGAGGTCTGAGCACTAAGTATAATTAATTTGCCATTGTTCACGTTGTATAAGGAATAAAGTCAGATTAGGGGTATTGCCTAATTTCATTGGTCTATTTGTGCAAATGTATGTGTGTGAGTTCGATAGCCAATGAAACGCGGTTAATGCTTGGCCTGTGTTATTGTCGCATTGAATGAACACGGACCAAAACATGAGCTTTTTCTATTACCCAACTTTAATAATGAAAAGTGAGTCAAAGAGGTCGAGACCTGGAAACAGAGACAGCTCGCCTTCAAAGTAAATGTTGCGTGTTTTCAAACGCGTTTGCTCCAGCGATCAATTTAAGGAGGGCTAAATCAAATAAAAAAACACATATTCTAAATAATGAACATATTATATATCTGTCATAAAGTCATATTTCTGCCACTTTCCCACAATTGAAGGTGAAAAAAACTGCTATAAACAGTATTTGTATGTAATGATTCATCATATTATCAATTTATTTATTTAAAAAAGGCTTCTTAACCTATTTGGGGGAATGATACAGGCTATAGTGTTGAGACTTGTGATGAGTCTGACTGTAAAAAGAGTTAATTTACCTGAACTTTGACTTTATTGCTGGCTCTGAACACTATAGCCACTCACCCAAATAGTTTAAGAAGCCTTTTTTTAAATAACTAAATTGATAATATAATGAATCATTACATACAAATAATTCAGTGTTTTCGCCCATTGGCAGTTTTTTTCTCGTTCAATTGTGGCAAAGTGGCAGAAATATGACTTTATGACAGTCATTTATTATGTTCATTATTTATAATTTTTGTTTATTTGATTTAGCCCTCCTTAAATTGATTGCTGGAGCAAACGCGCAACATTTACTTTGAAGGTGAGCCGTCTCTTTCCAGGTCTCGGCCTCCTTGACTCACTTTTCATTATTAAAGTTGAATAATGGAACAAGCAGATATTTTGGTGCACAAAATTGGATTGCACGTGTTCATTCAATACAGGTTCAACAACACAGGCCAAGCATTAACTACGTTTCGTCGGCTATCGAACAACATACTCACACGTAGCTGGACACATTTGCACAAATACACCAATGAGATTAGGCAATATCCCTAATCTGACATTATCCATTATACAACGTGAACAATGGCATATTAATTATACTTCGTGCATGGACCCAAACCGTTAACCGCGTTTAAGCAGCATCGGCTATCGTAGAACGAACTCACAAGCATCAGTATACATTTGCATGAGCACAAGTACATTAATGAAATTGGGCAATACCCATAATCTGACATTGTTCATTATACAACATGAACAATGGCAAATAAATTAAACTTCATGCACAGACCATTTTAGTCCCTGGAATCATGCATTTATTGGTTACAGTGCATCAGTGTGAATGTACATCAACTCACACATAGAGGAAAGATTTGTTCTTTATTCATCCCATGTTTTCTTTGCTCTGTGTTTTATAGTTTTTAAAAAATACAATAAGCACTTGCTTTGTAAACCTCGAGCTGTGATACACTGGTGAAACTGACATTTAAAAAAATACTGTGGTTTTAAAGACCTTGACAAAGGACAACACAGCACAATGTTTAAAATAATATTCAGATCATTTTTATTGTTGCAGTAAAAAAGGATAGTGAAAGATGCAAGAGCAGATAAATATAAAGATGTAAAAGCTTCCATTTCCTTCCATTCAAACCAGTGTGATCCTTCATAATAGCACAATCCAACAACTTGTCTCTTTCCTCGTGCAAAAACTGGTCAGTAACATTACGTTATCCATCTCAATAAAATCTAAATATCCACAATGCTGGTAAAATGCTTGTATTCACACATCTTAAAACAAAGCCCGTTATATACATACTGTACCTCTTAAAACAGCTGATTTTCAGTACATTCATACCCTTCAACATTCTTAGTGAATTGCTTTCTCAAACTTAGGAAGGAAACCGCGTGATTATGAATTAACACTTGTGCACACATTACATACACGTATGCACATTAATATAACCAAAATACAGTTTAAGTTTAAAGATTATAGTTAATTTTCCCACTCACTATTTTGAATAGAATACATGGAAGGAGTAAAAGGCCAAACTGAAGTGATTTTCATTACATTCAAATAATATACTTCAAACGGCTTCTATCTTTACATTACTGGTCCAGTACTGTCTTTGTGTCCTCCTCACTAACAAACAGGAGACATTGAGACACTTTGCCTGAGTAAAACCTCAATCTCAGATTGGTATCTACAATCTAACAATGGAAGGTGTACTAAAAGCTTAAAAACAAAAAAAACAATAATGAATCAGTGCTTTAAAGTAAAACTACAGTGGAGTAGAACTTATGGAGTCCGAGTCTAGATCTCCCGGTCGATGAACTGCAGGTGGATGGGGGCAGCAGGGCACAGCAGGCCGTGGGTTTTGGCCTTGACATCAGCGGTGCGAGGAGACATGCAGATGTGGAACTTTTGAATGAGCTGCACAGGTAGCAAAGACACAGAGAAGTCAATCAGAGTATATGACTTACACAGCTGGGAACTTGTACGCTTGTTCTGGCCATTGAGGCTGGCAGATTAAAAGAATATTCAAGGAGTGTGTGAGCTATGAGATTTGGGAGAAATAGAAAACCTGAACGATTTTCTTTTTGTACTACACAGACTATAATAATTAAAGAATGTCAATTTGTCAATGATATGACTTAACAAAACCCGGACATCGAAAGCTTTAGTGTTTAAGCTTGCAAACGTCAAAAGCTTGATGGACCTTTAATTAGTATTTACACAGATTTCTTCAGTATTACAAAGGAATTGTTTTGTCAGTGATTTTTGTTGTACACAATGAAGCCCTGGAGCTGGCTTATATACATTTACAGTTTCTTGCATACCCATGAGGGCTGGGCACTGTTGTATGCATGACACAATATAAGAACTTCATTCATTCATATAAGTGGATATTTATAAAACATGTTTGAATACACATTGTGTCTAGCCAAGTGATTAATTCCCTACCCGTGTGAGAGCTAGATGCATCTCTAACTCTGCTACTCTCTTGCCAATGCAGCTCCTGATGCCGTAGCCAAAGGGAATCGAGCCAAAGTTGTCGACACGATCCGTGGAATCTTTCCGTATCCAGCGATCCGGTCGGAAGTCTGAAGCATCAGCAAAGTTCTCTTCCTCGAAAGATGTGGAGTAGTGACAAAGGGCCAACTGAGTCTGACAAAGCGAGAAAACAAAAAAAAAAAAAGCTGTCAGTTGTGTAATGAAAACAGCTGGGCTATTGTACATGAGGGGAAGGGAGAGATGTGTGAGTAATGCAGGATCATGTTACATCTGGTCCCACTGTAATGTTTTTGGCTTCTCTTATGGTCATGCTTTTTCTTCAGCAACATGCACACTCTAGAGAACTGGCATCTATTATGCCTCCAGTCGCCTTACCCCTTTAGGGATGAAGTATCCGCCCACCACCAAGTCATCCTGGGTAATCCTTCCGTTGCCAGGGAGAACTGGAAAAAGTCTGCTCCAAGGGAGGGGTACACAAAGACTGTTATTCAACAGCACTATACTATCTATTGAGCTTTCTTCTAAAGTTTGAGTATAAGAAAATCGGATAAGTAAAAGCCCCACACAGAGAAAGATAATGAAGGAATGAAAGATGTGAACACACTGAACAAAGGGAACGCCTAACTTTTAAAGAATACAAAAATATTGCCGAGTTATTTCGAACAAAAAACCAAAAACGTAAAGAGTAGAACTATCCATGCAGTCTGCACCTGAGTGTCTCTTTGACCAGCCCTCTGATGAGAGGCAGACGAGGGACATCGTCGGCTGTGGCTACTGCTCCTGGTCCCAGAGTCCTCTTCACTTCCATAAAGATTTGCTGCTGTACATGAGGGTGCCGTGCCAACAGGTAGCTGGCCCAGGACAGGGTGAAGGATGTCTAAGATAATTGAGAAGGATATCTTATTAAAAAACAAAATCTGTGGTAGACATTACTCTTTGAATGTGTAATACATTAGCATTGTTAATTTACTCATGAATTAAATTGCTGTGGAGATTTTGCCTTTTCTTTATTGATGTTTTGCAATAGGTTTGACTACAATTGCCAGCTGATACAAGAGTTTCTGTGAAGTTGCATACGTTTAGGGAAACCGTGAGCGGCTTTGAGGGAGAGGGAGCTAATTCCACGTGCTGTGAGGACACTCGAGGTCACTCCACCAGCTGCAATCAGAGCTCTTAATCCCTCGTTTTACTTCACTCAGCCTTCTCATCCTATTGCACCTTCATTAAATCCATATATTGGTCGACATGTTTACGACAGCAGCATTACAGGGTGCAGTCCAAAATTGTAATTAGGTTACGCAGAACTGAAAAGTCGGACTATTTTTAGTGCGCAGATTATTTTCAATTTGCAGCATTGAAAATAATCCAAATAATGAGTGGAATTTTAAACCAGTCTCACCTCTCGCCATTTTCCCTCCACACACATTTCCCACACATCTTGTGGTTTCCCTTTGTCATCAGACACACCCAGATTTTTATTTCATCTTTCCTTTTTTGTGACCGCCCTACCAACTTGTCCCTGTCATCCCATCTTCTGTTCTCAATTTGTCCTTTTTCTGACTCATAAGTCACTGAAAAAGTAATGTCAATGACATAGGCAGGGGAGCAAATTATATGGAAACGTGTATCATCTACCCTGTATTCACATCATATCTTTACTCACTGTATCAAATTCCTTGTTACCCCAAACCACATCTTTTTTTTACCTGGCATCCTGCCTCTCTTTCCATCCAGCCTCCTCCATTTTCCACCCATGCATTTCATGACATATACTGGTATCAGAGGTCCAGCCTTGTTTTTCCCCCTATCACACTGAATACACCCTCCAGAGGTCAGTATCTCCAACTGATGATCAAAAGAGGTTGTATCCTTGTATAGGCCCCACCATCCTTCTCACCGTTCCATCTCCCACCTCTTCTCCCTGTTCTTCCTCAGATTCTCCCTCCCACTTTGTCATCCCCCTCTCCCCATCTAACCAACTTGCAACCAATCAACCCCCGGCTGGGACAGATGCTGGCAACACCTCAGACAAAGCCAGAGAGTAATCATATGACAAAAGCTCATCCAAAAATAGCTCTGAAAGACTGAGGCTTCCCCTGTGCATTCATAACATCTCCTCTTCAAACATCTCTAACATCCATCGTACCCCCAATTCGTCATTTCTCCCCCGCTTGTGACGCCAGCCCCCCCCAACCTTTGCGGTTTTATAACAGAGTCACTCTTCCTCAGGCCAACCCCCTTTTTTTCTCCCCCTCATCTCACCTCTGCCCAGTCTGGGATATAACTCTGGCTGTAGCTAATGTGTCTTGACAGCTCTTGTGTGTGCACTGAGTAAAGGGAAATGCACCACGGGGTCAGGTAATGGCTCAGCTAAATCCACCCCCGACCAGGACGTGGCCGTTACCACAAGTTTAACAAAAACACACACACCCTTTAATCCCTTGGCCCCCAGCTCAGAACAAAACTTTCTACACCCATAATTATCATTAATTTGACAGTACCCCAAACAAATTAGGCAGTAACTGTGCACATGTGCACACAAGTGCAGATGCAAACACATACCAGACAAGTGTGAAACAGTTGGAACATCGAGCATTATCCGGCAAAAGATTTTCTAGTTTCAGGAATATTTTATATTTTCATTTTAATTTCAAGTATTTTTTGAGAACCTCTTTAACTTTCCGTCTGTTGAATTGTGCCGTGTGAGGGGCGTCTGATGACTCAGTGGGCTGAGACCGTATCACATGTCTCTGCCCTCCTCCAGTGTTTTTCCCATTTCTCTATTCTTTAATCTGCCAATTCAAAAGGTAAAACTTTCCCTCGAAAAAGATACTTCAATGTCATCAAACCAAAAGTCTTATTTTTTAACAACTGCTGTCTAATTAAGTTCGAATGTCGAAACACATGAACACACAACACAGATGTCTGGTGAAAGAGAAAAAAAAATACAAAAGCTCCCCCTGTGTAGGTCTAACAGACAATGACAAATGAAAAGAAACCAAATCTGAGTGAGAACAAGTTTGTCAGTGGGATATTGTGTAACCTTCCAATTCACTGACCTGACCTGACGCTGGCACAGCCACACAGGCATGGATGTGGCGCCAGAAAACCCAACCCTTGAAACTCAAGACTGAACACGAACGCCGACACACACACACACACTTGTGCGACTCCCAACTCCTCCAGCTAAAGAACCTCTACACTCCTCAAACCCCTCTCTGTACATATAATTAAACAGAGGCGCACACACACACCGTGTCGACCCCAGCCAGTAGCATCTCCGTTAAATTGGCGTAGATCTCCTCCATGGTCATCTCCTTGTTAATGAGCAAGTGTGTGAGCAGTCCCCCCTTCACGTCCTCTCCCCGCTCCAGCTGTGCCTCGATCTCTGCAAGCCTCTTATCAACGTGAAGACGGCCTGGGATCAGACAGAGTAAAACAAGTTGGGATGAATGGAAAGGGGGGAAGGAAGAGGCGGTGAAAGAGGGTAGTGAAGGAAATGAGAAGAAAAAAAGACTTACAGAGGGGCCCCATACTCCCACTATCTCATTGTAGAGCAGCAGAGATTTATATGCAAATCAAAATTCCTTTCTATTGATGCCAGGCTATTTATCTAAAAAAAACAAAGGTTTGCAAAAGCTTAGCCAGAACCAAGCTGTACTGCTTTTTTGTTTTGTTTGTTTTTTAAGTACCACAGAAAAAGCCTTATCTAACATATTTACACACTGAAAACTATTTCGAATGATGTTTGGAGGAAGCCATTCTGGAAACATGTGAAGTGGTACTTTAGGTCATACTGTACATCTCTCTGCCTCAATTGTTTTTTGGATGGTGCAAAGAAATCCTATTGTGTGTCTTTTAAAAGTCAACAACTTTCTTAAAAGTCCTTCTAGTCATCCAGATAAAAAGCACAGGAAATCTTGGAGAAGCATTACATCACTTTTACCATGGAGAGTGCTCCTAGGTCTGTGAAAAGAAGTTGTATAATTTCCTTTGTGGCTCTGGAGAAGCTTGGTCAAGTCTGAAAAAAACAAATCCTGATGATGGCATTTGGGCTTAAGAGCCATGCCATAGCGTCCAGAGTTTTTGGAACTTTGACCCATACCAGGGGCCATAAATCAGGATATCACTGCCTCCTCTGCTTCAATTTAGTAATGAACTGCTGGAATGCCCTTTTAATGTGAAAGTACTCTAGTTACTGCAGGCAGATCGTCCGTTGGCACATAAAAGTATACTAAAAAAGTTGTTTTTGTGCCTGTTGAGGTCAATATGAATACACTTACTGAATTTGAAGAGGCCATCCCAGGAGAGACAGAACTCCTCCCATGGTTTGGGGATGACAGGTCGGAGCCACTTGGGGATGGCCCCGGCATACATGGTTGTCTTGAAGGAGCTGAACATGAGGTGCAGAGCACCGATGTAGTCTTGGGTTTGCTGGGGAATCTCATTTTCCAAACAGCCTAATCGGGACTCGTACAAAATGGCTGCCACACCTGTAAAGACAATGACAAGGAAGAGGGAAACAGAATTTGAAAATGTTTTTCTGTACAGTTGGAAAGTGGCAAGGGTTCTTTACCATCACATGTTCCTGAAGTCTAACTGGAATGTAACGCAGATGCATCACAATGTGCACAGGGTTTATTTACCTTTTTCCTGTCTCTTGCCTCTCTGCTATCACCCTGCCTAAATGTTGTCCTCTCTGAAGGCCTCTTCCCCTCACCCATACTGAACCTACACCATCCTTTTCAAATCCGCCTTTTTTCAACATCAAATTAATTCACAAACGCCCTTTGTGGGGTCTTTACAAACCTTCCATGGCATAGTTGAAGAAGAGGTCATTCACATTGTGGACAGTTGCTCCATCAGGCTCCTGGGTGCGCAGAATACAAACTCTCTTGATGAGGTCATCTACCACTTTGTTCACGTCATCAGAAAAGACTGCTACATCACGGGGACGCATGATGAGCTGCCTGAGCACGCTCCGCATCTTCAGCCAATCTTCTCCCTCACTGGAGAACAGGACACAAGCTAAGGTGAATCTTTGGCATCCTGTGTGTTGTTTTGTATTAATGCAGGACATTCACAGACGTATTTGGAGGAAACGGATTTGTTTTTATTAAGAATTATAGCGGTGAAGCTGTTGAAAAGCTAAGGGTATTGATGCCAAAAGAGTTCATAGAAACAAAAGCAGACTATATAGAAGTATGAGTGAGCTAACCCTGGAAATGTAGCCCAAACACAAAGTTTTGTGTTATGTCCATCTACACATATGGCAATCACAAATTTCAGGAAGTCCTTGTCCTCTAGACTCAAAGATCAAAGGTTGAAGGGGGACTCACGCTGAGATGAGGCCAGTGGAACTGCCTATCATGTCTCTGTACTCCTTCCAGGACTCCATGTTTGCTCTCTGAGGGGCCACCCCCTCAGCTCTCAGCACCTCCGCTACCAAGTCACGGTCGGCCACTGAGACCACCAGCTGGGGCCCAAAACGGGATTTGAAAATTTTGCCAAACTTCTTCCTGTGCTCCATCTATAAAGCAGTAGAGACACATAAAACAAATTAGTAGTCACATTTGTTTATTTTGGAGGAAATCCAGGACTGATTTCACTCCTTTAGACTGATATATTCTTTATAAAATCAAAATGTAATGTAACATAGGATATGTGTATATGCAGATACAGGCCATTAGGTTAAATCTATGATTGATTTAGATTGGAAATATGAATGTATTTTTGATTGTATCTGATTGAAGGAGATCAAGTCATAATGGTAAATATGTTATAATGACCTTACTTAAGTCTTCATTTAGCCCCCATCATAAGATACCCATTTAGCCCCCATCATAAGATACCAACCTTTCTTTGTCTGAATGCTGGGTCATTCAGGAGTAATGCCAATATTTCAATGCCTATGGCAAATGCTAATGTTCGCACAGCTGCACCGATGATGATTCAATTAAAACAGAAAGAGGGGTTTATCTGAGCTCATGGTTCTTTTTAGATAAGCCATTACAGTGTGTGTCATTATCAGTTTGGGTCCACTTTTCTGAAGATGAGTAACTACTTGTCCTGATACTACTATAAGGTAAATGTAACAAAACAGGTACTTATTTTGTATATTGTCTTTGTACGTGTTGCTCATGCTGATTAACACCTAGGCTTGGCTCATTCCATTTCCTTTCACAGCCTTTTAAAGATTTTCTCCACAAATTTAGAGATTTAAAGCGATTTACAACAAGATTATTTGCTGTATTGTTTTTGAGCTAACACCTTCATTGTAGTTTGAAAGTCCTTTGCACACTGCTGTAAAAACTCGTACCCTGGAGCGGAAAGATGACCTGCGACCAAACTTCTGGTGCACCTTTACGCAACTCTGTGCCATTTTACGCATAGGTGGCAAATTTTGCTGACGCTGAGAATACACGGGCTCGCTGCAAAGAAATAACTTTATCTACCATACAAAACGAAACAAATCACAAAAGAAAGGTAACGTTATATATCTACAACATTACCTGAATTTCATGAATTCTGCTAAACCCGTCTCTCCAGATGAACTCGACCAAGTTGGATAAGGTGCTGGGTCCAGGCATCTCCTTCAGGGTCATGATTCTGGTTTTCTCGCCAACATCCGCCACCGGTGTGATCAGTCTGTCTGGCATGGCCTCTTCTCCAGCTGCGGAGATTCCTGAAGCCTCGCTCGCTGCTGACTTGTGCAAGGCGCGTAAAAGGAAGAACAGCTGCTTATTCATCCGGTCGCCTTGAAGATTCTTCCAACACGCTGTCGTAAAATGATTCAGGATTGCCATTGTTTGGATACTTTTCGGTGGTTCTGTGTTTAAAAAAACGATTTGCAAAGTTCACATCTACAAATGCATGACCCTGGCACATGCAAACGCACTCCTCCCTTACAGATTAGGTGAAGTTAGGCGGTATTGCATTATGGAACGCTTTAAAAGGGTCGCTTGTACAACCACAGAGGTGGAAGAGGATTGGATGTTCGCTTCAGAAGAAGGGAGGGATAACTCTGTATTCGGGTGTGGGCGTTTCCCCAAAAAGGCGAATGGGTTCAGTCTTTCATTGCAAAAAGGAGTGCGCTACAATGTGACCAAATATTCTTACATCACAACATCAATCAGCATGTGCACCCACACACATTGAATACATGTTAATGGGTTTAACGTAGTATGAGGCCAACTTGTATGTTGACATAAATCATAAAACAAAGGACAATCCCCCCCACAGTCTAGCTCATGTCATCTCGATCCACGTTCAGATTAAGATTGCAAAGAAACGTTGTCTAAATCTGGAGCTCATGGAGGCACGGGATTTATCTTGAAACTTTCCAAAACATGAATGGTTGATGTCAGATCCTCAAGTGGAGGTTTCAACCCTGAACGCATCACTGCTTATGATCTTATGATGGCTTTTTATCACCTTTTCTGATCAATCAAATCACTGAGCTAAATCGGCTGTTTTTGTCTCTCTTTTTAGAGGTTGACAATCACAAGTTACTTACAAACCACGCATCAATTATTAGGATGTGAATCAGAACACCTCACACTGTGATAGATGTGCTTTAGTTGGATTCCACTCTCAACAAACACGTTAATTCAAATCTTCATTACTACATATTGCTCCTTCAATAAACCTCAAGTCTCCTGAGGTCACAACACAGGGAATAAACGAAAGGGCGATTCAGGTTACCGTTCCCTGTGGTAGAGAGAAGGGTGGCTAGGCAGAGGGGGGTATTTCCACACTCACCACTTTGGCAGCTTGCACAAGGCACCAGACTGAATGTTGTTTGTGGGATGTCCTCAAATCATCCATAAGCAGAGGAAGAAGACCCCGACCCCTCACCCTTCTCTATCCCTGGCTTTTACTCATGCCAAGCACAAATGAAGATAAAAGCTTTCCCTCTTTCCATTCTTCCAATGGGAAGCAGCTACATTTCTTTTCTCAGGTAAATTAAAATATATTGGTGGACTGTAATGTGTACCAAATTTTGCCAGACTTGTGAATGTTAAACACCACTCTATCTAACATACAACTTTAAATTATTATACATTTTGTAAGAGATTAACATTAATTTTAGCCTCCTGCATTTACGGATGTAACGACTTATGACTTGAAAAAAACACACACACAAAGAAAATAACAACCAAAGAGCTTTCATTTTTTTTATGTAACATATTTAGCAACATTTAAAAGATGAAAGTTCCAGAACAAAACATATTGAATAACTAACATCAGGAACAGATTATTGTGATCCGATCATGTGGGCTTAGTCCATCACGTCTTACTGTGTAAAAGGTAGCCAAATTTACAAAATAAATGTCCAATATCAATGGTTTCCTGCTGTTGGTGTGAAGCACACACCAACAGTAGATAAGACAAGGGTTATTCCATGTAGGGCAAATATCAAGTAGCTGACTCCAATCCATATACATTATTATTGCGCCCCAACTTTGTCCTGTTGCCTTGCTGCAACTGAGTCCGTCTTGAGGTATCAGGGTGTGAGGTAGTGCTTCTACTTTCTGAAGCGCTTGAACAGAGGATGAATGCCCTTGCCTAGTGCGGCTTTGCTGCCTCGACTCTGATATTCCATGTAGACTGTGTCATCTGCACCTGACATGGAGCTCATGGTTCCCGTTCGCCTTGAGAACTGATAAGGAAGCGGGGGGGGACGACGACAAGTGAGTATATTGTTATACACAACAGCACAATTCAAAGGCAATGAAGTCTACGTTCTTTCTGAGTCCAGGTTTAGCAAAAGTCCTCACCTGTGGTCGTCCGCCCAACTCCCCTGCCACCACTTCCTCCTCAGCGTCCAGGTCTGAAGCAGCTAGAACCTTCTGAAGCAGCTGCTGTTGCTCGTCCTTTGTCGAGAACATTAAGTCCCCTTCCTCCATACCTGCCAACTTTGTGATCACCTATGAAAGAAAGGGAACATGACATCATAGAGATGGTCTTTGTAAATGGTACAAGAATGAGGTGTCACATAAATGAGGACCAACGATCAAGCACACACTTTCTAATTCATACACATGTTCCCATTTGTCCTGAATACTTTTTCACAAATAAATTAAATAAATAGATTTAGGCATTTTGTTATTTGATTTAAACTCTATTCCTCTAAATTAAATTGTGTAGATGTCCATCTACAACAGAACGGGTGGAGTCCCCGTCTATGTAAACTATCTCTGTGAGCGGAAGATTCCTTTTCTGAAACCAGTTTCTTTTCCGGTTCATTCTTTGTTTTGTCCCTCAAAAGTAAACTCCTGTTGGTTGTTGCCAGAAACCCTCAGGCTTCGGTGTTAGTGAGTCTTGGACCCCTTCCCACTATACAAGTCTAGCCAGAATGGATCTGATGAAACCAAACACTTTTGAAAACATAATAGCAATAGAGAATAGAAACTGAATAAATAACAGAAACGGAACAAAGAAAATCCAATTTGTAATGTTTTGTAATTTAAAAACACCAACTAACTATGTTGGTGCTGCTGTGGCAGAACTGTACAATCTGGAGTATGAACAGGGTAAAATCTGTGGTGCAATTTCGAGGGGGAGACACAAATAAGGTGAAATGGTGTGACGGTGACAAGTTGCCGCAATGGTGAACAAACCTTAAAGCTGTAACCTTGGTCCACCAGGAACCTCTGCCTCTTGGTGGAGTAAGCCATCTCCTGGGTGTCCTGAGACACTAGTGAGTAGAAGTACGCGTTGTACTCTTCTGCTACCATTCCTAAGCAAGCAGACAGTTGGAGGTAGATAAAACAGCTACATCAGCGTGTTTCATGCATAGGCCAACAATATCAGTTTTTTCTATTTTCTGCAGACATACTGACCTTTCTTGGCTCGTAAGACTCTGCCAAGCCTCTGGGCCTCCTGTCTGCGTGATCCGCCATGAGAGGAGATCTGGATCAGAACATTGGCTTCTGGCAGGTCAAATGAGGTGTCTCCAACCTGTCGAGGCAAATGAATGACACTCAAACTGTATTCGGTTGTCTAATACAGTGGTATGCCACCTACTGTCCACAAAGGGGCACATGGCTGAATGAGTGTGGTCCATATATTACATAGAGGAAAATAGTTTGGTTGGTCTACCTTGGAGATGAAAATGGTATTGATCTTGGGGTTGCGTTTGAAGTTCTGTAAAATCTGCATTCGTTCCCCCTGAGAGGTCGGACCATAGATGTAAGGCCTGGAGAGGAAAAATCACAACAGAATTAAAAACCTTGAGAAATCGGACCTGAACAGGCAGTTCACTGAACCATTCGAAATGCCGCTCTTGTTGTAAATAACTTACTTGTTGAGGCGAATGGCGTATTCCTTCAGGGCAAACACGTTGTCAGCGAAGACCATAATCTTGTCATTGCGCCGCTCGTGGAACTGAATGAGAAACTGGCAAGCGCGGAACTTATTGGGGTTCATGGTATAAAACAGGATGCGCTTCTTCGTCTTGATGGCCACGTACTCTCTGTAAAACTCTGGAGACATCGGGCACCACACCTGGAGCGCAGACATGGGTACATTGTTCAGAAAGCGTCAAAGTGAAACATGCTCATTTGTACTTGTTATGTTGAATCTTGACTGCAGCTAGTTGAAAGAGCCATGTTTAAATATCATTGAGTCATGTGATATGAAGGTTCATATAACCGCAATGTTACGCACTTTCATAAAGAAATGAACTCTAGTACATGAGATACACCAACACAAATTAATCAACTTTTTGCACATTGCTCCACACAACTCGGCAAGCTGACTGATTTTACTCACAGGAGACAGCACAACATCCATCAAGTCTATACAGAGAAAAGCACTCAATCAACGCTGACTACTTATAAATACAATGTGTAGGTCCCTTTATCGAAATTGACTGTATAACACTGCAAGACTCACCTCTGCACACTGGACTTTGGCAATGTAGCCATTGTTCTGCAATTCCATCCAGTTGGCTTCAAATAGTTTAGGCCCAATTAGGAAGTTCAGGTCCACAATCTTGTCGTCTTCCCTGACCAGTGTGGCAGTGAGCCCCATTTTGCAATGTGCCTGCACAATGGTCAGAACCCGACGAAACATCTTGGCTACAGAGAAAGCACAAAATTCTTATGTTAACATGTAGATTAATCTCACTATATTTGGTGTCTATATCCCGTTGTATCCAAAAACCTCAAACTTCAAAATACTCTTTGCGTAACGCTATTACATTGGAACGCAATATTGAGCTGTCTGGAAAACTGATGTGCAATAACAGCTCACCGGGGATAGTGTGCACCTCATCCAGGATAATGAGACCCCACTCCTGGCTCCGCATCCACTCCATGACTCTCTCTGCCTCCCAGGAGCGCTTGGTGGTGTGACCCAGCATGGAGTAGGTGCTGATGGCCACCGAGCAGCCGATGGGCTTGTCCTTGGCGTCTGAGGTGAAGCGGCAGATCTGAGAGTCATCGATAGTGGACCACATCTTGAACTGAGCCTTCCACTGCTCCACGGACACCGAGGAGTTCCCCAACACCAGGCAGCGCTTGCGCACCGTGCAGGCCGCTGTCACGCCCACCAGGGATTTGCCCGCTCCTGGAAAGCAAAGGGGAGATAAAATATTAATACATACAAGCTTTTTACATACAGGATACTTATAGTAACTCATACTTTTTGTTGAGGGCGTACGCCAACATTAAGATGAAAGAAAAATCTGCCAAGCTCAGCAGTCTATCCCTTGTTTATTATGGGCTAAGCAAACATTTTAAATATTTGATATCATATATTATTATTTCATATTCCAGTTCTACCATTTTTTGCCATTTCAAGACTGTATTTCTAATGTGACGAAAGGCTTTGGGGGTGTCCTTTCTGTTTTTTGTCACTCAATGTTCCGTCCTCCATCGAGTACAGTAAACCAGCCGTCTCACCGCAGGGCAGCACGATGACCCCAGAGCGAGCACGTCCATTCCCAAACATCTTGCGCAAACTCTTTTCCTGGTAGGGCCGCAACACGGCAGTGGGCTTCAGGTCAATGTTGATGTCCGGGTTGACTGTGTCATTGCGAAAGTCGTACTCGGCTAGCAGGGGGTACTCCATCTGAATACAACGCTTCTGCAGCTCTTCGATCATCTCCTACACCAGATCAGAGAAGAACCGTTCAGAGTAGGGCAGAAAAATACGATTATAAGCATGGTACAACATATAAGCTTAATGAATGCCAGCAGTAATGGAAAAGAACAGAAATCTGAAGTGTACCTGGCGGATCTCACAAGACACAGTCTGAGTCTCTTCTTCCTCCTCTTCTTCTTTATCCATCTGCTCATAGTAGCTGAAGATGTCCTCGGGGACTTGCTGGGTTGAAGTCTGTCCATCGCCGGGCTGCTGTGAGGTAGAAGTACCCCCCCTTTCTTCAACAGACTTGGAAATCTTTTAGGAGACACAAAAAAAGACCAGGACAACAGTTACAACTTCTGTTGGCCTCTACAGTGATATTTCCGAAACAGGACATGACTTATTGCTTTCCAATTAGAATAATTGACAGGTTGGGAAAAAGCCTAGAGAGCCTGATCTGACTGTTCCGTTCCAGCATCACAAGACATCCTTCCCCACGTCATTAATACTATTTTGTTCAAATGTGTGCATGATCCCATTTTACACACATGTTTACATTTCTTGGTTGTCCTGCCATTGAGCAGTAGCTGCTTCATATGCCCCCAGCCTGTGAAGTACAGCACATCACGATGCACGATAGTGCAACACTACAACACACGCATCTAAATGTTCAGGGGTCACACCAATAATGGGTCATTGTAAATCTTCTTTGGTGGAAGATTAGGAAAGTTATGGTTGAAAGTTTTTAATCTTTTGCATCTGCATCTTCACCTATTATTATTGGGTATTAAACAATAGACATGTTTAAAATGTGTTTAAATTCATGGACTATTCCAATTTAAAACAGCAATAAATGACTTTATATGGTTGTGTGTGAGTATTAAAAGGGTTTTGGATGGCATACCAGTGACTTGCTCTGGACGACTTCAGTAATAAGCTCAGTGTCCGCTCCGTCTGCGGTGCGGAGACGGCAATCCCGGATCACGCTGTCCTGCAGAAGCCGCTGGATCACATCAGGGAAGGCACTCTCCACAAAATACCTGAAGGTAGACATGCAGCACAGTTTAAGAAGAGCACTGACTGGATGATTAATGATGTAGAGACAGAAGGAAAGGTTGCTGAAGTGATCTTACCTGTTGTGCTTGAGCACCAGCTTGACTTTGCCATAGCTCATCGTGCAGAGCTGAGAGTAAATAACCACATTAGCACACCTGGCATTAGAAATAATACATACATAAATTGTCCTCTTCTCTAAAAGCACAAGACACTCTCTCAGTCAGACCTTAATGAACTGCACGATTCCATCCGGCACAGACGTCTTGCTGAGCTTCTGCAGGTATTCTACAATATCGGCGGTCTGCAGCCCCACACTGACAGCTGCATACAGGGAATAGGCTGTCAGCTTGTACTCATGGATATGGTTGGGCCTGCACACCGGCTCGGCAATGGCCACCATGAAATCCTGGGCGTACTTGTACACTGGTGAGAAGGCTTCCAGGAAGATGTGTCCATCTGGAGCCTGGAGGAGAGAGAAATGGAAAAAGAAAAAGAGGATGAGAAAACAAAACAAATAGAATCCGCTTAAAATATTGCACAAAATCAGGAAGAGGACCACAAGTTTTAAATTAGTAAAACAAACACGTCTTACCACCCAGAGGGGACGTGAAGAGTGATCATTCTTTAACAGCATCTGAACACGGTAGTCTTTGGCGCCATACTCGTCCAGTTTTGTACTGGACTCTTCCACATGTTTCCCTGCAGCAGCAGGTATGGCCTCCTGAGACTCGCCGCCCACTACCTCTTCTTCCTCTTCTTCCTCCTCGTAGAAACGCTTTTTGGACTTCTTGTCTGTAAGAGTTAGAAAACATTTGCAGTAATAGAGGTGGACAAATAACAGGCAACGGAAATGTATCAATGTAAATTATCTTGTTTTCAGCGCACTCCTGGCAATATTATGGTACATAAGTACTCCTTTTAATACACAGTGATTTAATATTTTTTTGCTGTACAAGATAAAGGAATATCCTTCCTTTACTAGCATTACAGCTTGTTCTGTTCTATAACTATTTGACCGTTTAGCTCACATGTAATGCGTTTTAACATTAGAGCACACACGTATATGTCACTGTGCTACTTTATTACACACGCATTTCAGTTTTGAAATATAAATTTAGGCTGTGTTTTATACTCTTCAAAGTTGTTTCACTTAGCGTTGCACCCTTTCACGACAACTGCTACCGTTTAACATGATCGAAGGAGGCGTTCAAGGACTCCAAATGCAAAGCTACAGTGTTGATCAGCAATACATATCGGGGGACATGTGCGTTTCAGTAACGTTACACAATATCCTCAAGTTTAAGATACAGTTAGCCAACAGTGAGCTAGGTTACACCGTAGCTAGCATTAGCAACTCACCCCGATCTCCTTTATCTTTTTTACCCATTTTATAAATTCTTAAATAGGCGATTTCTTTCAAAACATGACAGACATATCTTCATAATCCGTCTGGTGTCCTCCTGAAAGTCCACAAAGATGGACTGCATTAGCTATGTGACGACAGTTGCTACGACACAATACCAGTGTCGCGTGCACCAAAATAATGTAATAATTCCGGTCTCAGCCTTCAAAATAAAGTCTTCACTTGAGAATTGTGGGGAAATATAATTTAGGGATGTTTTCAGTTTTTTTTTTATCATTTCGAGCACTTTTTTACAGAATATTTTTTTCTAAGCACAAATGATACTGTGTATTTATGTATTTATTAATTTACAGTATATGGTACAAACAGAAGGCATTACAAATATAGAGAAGTATTCTGAAATAATAGCTATAGAGATTACTCAGTATTAGAAAAGAGACATTAACCGAACATACTAACATGTTAAATGACAGATAATTTAACTTTATTCATTAAAAATACTGTCTTAATTGTACTGCACCAACGTGTAATTTATTACTAATATCCCAATTAATTGGTGTAATTAATGCACATCAAAAGTGTAGATGACCGCATGTCTAAAAATAACAAGCAACATTCTCAGGATACGGTATAATAGTGTATCAAATAAAACACATGTAATGTCTTTTATTCTTGCAGCACAGTAGCAGTTTATTTCAGCTAACTTGACTCCACTGATTTAATGTTTACTTCCTGGGTGAAAGGTCAAATTGGTCCTTCGAGGTTTCTCTTGTCTACGGGCCAGCCTTTTCTTTGCTTTATTTTAAACTTTAATAGAAATTGCTGACTGAGTAAGTAAGTCATTCGTGTCTAGTATGTCGTCTGATAAACCGATCGGACCTGCTGTACCCCGGATGTTTAGAACGGAAGAGAGCGATGAAGACTCTGATAGTGATGATGGATGTAAGTAACAGAGGGTGAAATACCGCCCTTGCTTTGGATTAAATGCTGTATAAACCAGTAAGGTTCGCCTCGTGTTGCTCTGCGCATGGTAGTTGATGTTGTTTGTTTGTTTCTGTTGTAGTCTCTGGCCCTGCTTTGCCTCCCGGCTTTAAACGGGGAGAACCGTCGAGCTCCTCGGATGACAGTGAGCAGGAGGTGTCGACCAAACGAGCGAAAACCGAACACACAGCTGCAGAAAAGTAACTTCATTAACGGACTAGAAGTTATAGAACAAACAAACAAAACGGTAACGTGTGTGTTTTCAACAGGGTGGAGAAGACAAAGGGACCAGAAACAGACGATGATGGTTATTTCGGACCAGCCTTACCACCAGGATTCAAGAAACAACAGAGTTCACCAGAAAGGTGGGCAAATGAGTTACTTGTGTTGTGGATGAACAGTCAAATACGGAAGCTGTAACTGCATTGTGTTGCCTCAGGCCACCTGTGCTGGGACCAGCTTTGCCTCCTGGGTTCCGCAGAGCAGCATATGAAAACGATGATGACGATGGTGAAGATGGAGAGGATTTCCCAGGGCCTGCCCTTCCCCCTGGCTACCAGGCGGAGTCCTCCAGCAGCGAGGACGAGGACGTGATTGGACCCATGCCGCCCACAGGGCCTATTGAAGACTCTGTGGCTCTGGACTTTGAGCGCAGAGCACGCAGGATGAAAGACAAGCTGACAGGGGATGTGAGTCCTCACCCCCCCCCCCCCCCCATAAATATCCTGCGCAAGGGTGTCCCGTTCCTTTCTTATGTCTTTAAAGTGTTCCTCCTCCTCTGCTGTCTGACTTTGTCCCTGTGTGTATTTCTGTGTGAACAGGACACTCCTGAGGTGGTGTCCAGAGAAACGTGGATGACCGAGCTCCCACCGGAGCTGCAGCACATCGGCTTGGGGGCTCGGACCTTCAAGAAGAAGTCGGGTCCAGAGAGCAAGGATCGCTCTATGTGGACGGATACGCCAGCAGACAGAGAGCGCAAGATTGTGGTATTTATTGCAAAATAACTTATCCTTATATATTAAACATTTTGTAGTTTATATATTATATTTGTTTGTTTTTGGGGGCGACCGTGGCTTACTGGGTAGAGAGGGTTGTCCGCCAACTGAAAGGTCACCGGTTCTTTCCTCGGCTGCACCGTGTCCTGTGTCGAAGTGTCCCTGAGCAAGACACTGTACCCCTAACTGCTCCCCAGGCGCCTGTCATTGGCAGCCCACTGCTCCCTATATATACAGGGATGGGTCAAATGCAGAGAATAATTTCCCCACTGTGGGACTAATAAAGGAATGTTTCTTCTTCTTCTTCTTCTTC